TCCTGCCACTTTTGGTAAGCCTTACCCCCTAAACCCACGTGAACCTCCATCCCGGTAGCCTCAAAGAACCAGCCCTCGGCTGCCACAGGGATGCCGGCGCCGTGATGCGAGAAGCCACGGGCAACAGTGCCGCGGACGGCAAGCGTCGAGTTTGGGAATCTTGTTGAGGCGGGGGGGTTTCCACCTAGATGGCATGTTGATGGCAGGATTTCTTTTCAGTAGGCCTTCCACAAGGGACCCTGCTGCAAGTTAGTTAGAAATGTTAGAGCAAAACTTCGGGTGGCCGTGCGAGCCCTCGCAAAAAAGACGTCCTTAACCCTAAGCCCCAAACCCCACAGTACGACGTTCCCAGCCCTGAGCGGACAGCCGGGGCAACTTGCGCAGATCCAGAAAGAGCCCGAGCATGTACGAGAGCAGAACGTGCCAGCTTGCGAAGCATCAAGGCCAAAGCAACATTAGAGGCCTACCGAGCGGACTTCAAGCCCTCGTGCCCTAGACTCCCTCGACCCTAAGGTCTCTGTATGGATGTGGTGGGATTCCTGGTGCGCCCATCGCAAACGAAGGGCTTCTCGCCCCACCGTGACAGGTGCTTATTGACCGGCTGTTTGCGGACGTTGTTCCAGGTTCCTGTGGCTGGGATGCAGGGCAGGATAGGGTTTCGGTCGCCTGCTTTCTGTGAGTAGGCTGCATACTCAGGACATTCTGTGAATGCCAGCTCGCCTGCCTACGATGAACGACTGGAAGACTCACCCATGCCGTAGCCCTGGGCCCTCAGCCCCTCCCCTGAGCCCCTGAGCCCCCCCTGAGCCCATGAGGCTCCTGAGCCCCCCTGCGTCTGAAATCCGAAACCCGAAACCCTAAACCCTCAACCCTAAACCCTAAAACCCTAAACCCTAAACCCCAGAGGCAGCCAGAAGACTGGACCCCAAAGGGTGTGCCGCCCGAGACGGCGGCCACGTTTAAACCGGTGCCCTGGCCGGTGAAGTCACCCTAAACCCAAAACCCTTAACCCTTAACCCTTAACCTAAACCCTAAACCCTAAACCCTGAACCCTGAACCCTGAACCCTAAAGCCTAAACCTAAGCCCTAAACCTTTAGGGTTTAAGGGGCTTCTGATGGACTCCGGAGACCTCGGTTGGTTCTCTGGCTTTGTGTGTGCACATTCACGCACAGAACACGCAACTTCAAGAGCAGCATCAAAGCCAACAAACCAAGCAACAGTGTCAACAGCGCAAGCTATACCACCAAGTGCAGTAAAGCAGGTGCCAAGGACAGCTGAAGAGGCTTCTTGAGGCTAACCCACTTACCCTATAACGTAAACCCCAAGCTTTTCGATTGCCTACGTTCCCGAACTCGGGGTTCCGAAACCTTCAAAAGTTTGGGTTTAGGATACGGGGTTTTACGGTTTTGGCTCTTTTGGAGCCCCACTCCTGCCTGGGGGCCTTCTGCAGGGCGACAGGCCCTCCTTGAACCTTTAACGCACTAGTAGTAGCAGCAGTACTATTGCGCCTAGTAATGAACTCTATACCCCTTCCCCCACAGAAACTATACCCTAAACCCTAGACCCTAAACATTCCCAAAATCAGTAAAATGCCAGACCAGGATGGCATGGCCAAGTATGTCACGCTCTGGGCGGCGCTGACGGACGCCACGCCCGAGAACTCCTGATCTCCAGCTCTAATTAAAGGGTTTAGGGTTTAGGGTTTGGGCTTTAGAGGCTTAGGGTTAAGGGTTTGCAGGCCTAGGGTTTGCTCGCATCGCATTTGATGGGGATTTCGGCTCCCGGGGTTTCGGGTGATGGTCAGGCTTTGCTCTTCTGTTTTGAGTTCAAGGCTTGAGATTGAAGTTATGAACGCAGACTCGGCGCACCTGTCAAGAGCCATGCGTGTGGAGACACGCAGAGCCGCAGAGCCCTTTGGTGCCAGCTTGGTGCATCTAGACGCTGAACCTCCCAGCCCTAAACCCTAAACCCTAAACCCCAAACCCCAAACCCTAAGCCCTGAAGCCTAAACCCTAAACCCTAAGCCCTAAACCCTAAACTCAAAACCAAAGTGCTCAAGGCCTGCACTTTGTGCCGCGACGGGTGGATCCCGGCTCCTCGATTGAAGCGTCATGAGAGCTTCTGCTCTCAGTATTCAGGGTTCCGGGTTCAGGGTTTAGTGTTCCGGGTTTAGGGTTTGTTGCATTGAGTTGTATCGGTCTGGAGGCTACTCGGCTGGAGATCCGGATGATGGGGATCCGATGTTGCGCATCTTCCAGGACAAGGCTCCCGCCGAAGCACTTACTGGTAAGGTCTACCGCTTATCTTTGCTCCTCCTGAGCCCCAAAACTCCGCAAACTCCAAGCCCTTGGCATCAAGTCACGAGGGCATCTCTGAGCCCTCTGGATTTTCATGTGTGCCTTCGCGTGAGGGATCCCGAAGAGGGCAGTACGGAACGACCAAAGAACCCAAGGCAGCACCCGTGCTTTAAGTCCCGCAAAGCGAACCCCGGACACCGCAATCCTGGGCAGGCCGCCTTTCAGACCATCCGCAGTGCCCCCGTCGCTGCTGGAGGCCCCTCATATAGCTATTTCCAGGAACCTCCGCCCCACCCTAAACCCTCAAGCCTAAACCCTAGACCCTAAATCCCCGAAACCCCAAACCCTAAACCCTAAACCCTAAACCCCAAACCCAAACCCCAAACCCCAACCCCAAACCTGAGCCCTGAATCCTAGACCCTAAACCCCCTTAAAAGGCTGCACATTCCACACGCACCGCACCATCCACTGGGGCTCCGCTGGCCGCCGCGCCGGTGAAGTGGCTCCGCGGATCGCGCTGTCCTTCGGTGCCCTGGCAAGGGTTTCGGGGGTTTCGGGGTTTAGGGGTTGAGGGTTTTGGGTTTCGGGGTTTGGGGTTTAGGGGGGTTTAGGGGTTTAGGGTTTGGGGGTTTCGGGTTTGGGGGTTTCGGGTTTAGGGTTTAGGGTTTGGGGGTTTCGGGTTTAAGGTCTAGGGTTTTGGGGTTTGGGGTTTCGGGTTTAGGGTTTAGGGTTAGAATCCAAACAGAGCCCTCTTGATTTAGGGTTTAGGGTTGAGGGTTGAGGGTTCAGGGTTCAGGGTCAGGGCTTGTAGGATAATTATCTCTCAATGGCGGAAGATTCCTCGAGTTATAGTGGAGAAGGTAGTCCTGAAGGTTGCACGCTTGTGTGAGACCTGATCCCTAAGCTCAAAAGCCCGAAACTGCGTAGAGAACTTAAAACCAAGTTAGTCGTGAATTTGGGAAGTTAGTACCCGAAATCCCCCTTTTCTAGCCGTTGAAAAGAATACCATGTACATATATATTTACATATATATATATATATATCTGTATACCCACCCCAAACCCAAAACCCTAAGCCCTACGCCCTAAACCTTGAACGAAGAACGATTCAACGGAAGCCGAGGCTTCAGCACGGAGGACCCAGCCTGGCCTGAGACAGGTTTAGGATTTGGGGTAGGGTTGTCGGGTTTAGGGTTGTAGGGTTGTAGGGTTTAGGGTTTAGGGTTTAGGGCCTTGGGTGGTTTAGGGGGGTTTAGGGTTGTAGGGTTTGAGGAATTAGGTTTTTAGGCGGGGCGCACCCTGGATAGCCAACCAAAGATGCTGTCGAATATTCGACCAGCCCCAGTCCAAGCAAACGACTCGGTAAGTCCCGATCGCTAAAGCAGGGTTGAGGGTTTAGGGTTTAGGGTAGTTACATGAGCAAGAGTCAAAACTATGGTATTTGCCACGTGACTTTGGGAGGACATTTGCATGCTGAAGGTTCAAAAACTCAAAAACCCTGTAGAGCGACGGGGAACAACGACAAGCGACGCCCCCTGATAGTATCTATAGCAGAGACATCAGTCCTTCACTATCATTGGTATGTATTGTTACTGACAGCTGGCGCGTAACAGAAGCCCCTGTAAAGCGACGGGTTACAGTTGGCCCGAAAAAACCAAAAAAGCCCTATAAAGCGACAGGGAACGCCGAAAAACGACACCCCTCTATTGCGCGAACCCAGGCCCGACAAGAAAGACTTTTGACGGGGCGCTCACATGGCCCCTTAATTTGGCTCCTCAATTTGGGGAACCTCGCATATACTTCTTATAGACCCTCTAACCCCAAAAGGCAAGCTTATGAAATGCAGCCTCGAGACGGCGTTTCCAACCCTCAGTGCCTGAATCCTTGAACCCCCTACTTGGAAGCCCTTTTGACTTTGTAAGTCTACTTAGCATCACCGAGAAATCCGAAACTATTCCTCAGAACCCTACTTACTAAGTCAGAAGGGCTTCCAAGAAAGGGCTCAGGACGTCGGGAGTACCTACACGCTTTGGAAAAGGGACATAGCAAGTGCATGGGATGCGACAGGCGCCATGTTGACAAAACGCCATCGAAGTCGTAGCCGGAGTTGGCAGCTTCGAACGTGGACAAAACGGACGGCACTCACTGTCACGCATGAGCTGGCCGTGGCGAAGCAGAGGTTGGCGCTAGTGCGGCAGGTCTACACTACAATGGCTTCGTTCCCTTGAAAATTCGGTTGGACGTTGTCCTCATCCCCCTGATTCATGGCGACCTCAGCATGCTGGGGTATATTCTAAACAAGAGTTTAGAATGACAAGCGCAAAGGCATACAAACAAAATGCATACAAACAGCGTAGCAGCAGCATCTTTCAGTGAACAAACTCAGGAAGCTTTTCTCGCATGTTGCTCTTAGACCTTTAAACTTCAACAGCTCGTGCCTCATGTGTCCCCACCAGATGTGGTACTTTGATTTTGTTTCTCCATGTTGCTAACTTTCTCTGCGGGTGCTCTCGTTGTGTTTTTTCAGTTTTAAGTACGGTTCACTTCGCACCAACTTCGATTAGGGATGCAGTGTGGTCTTGGACTTGCGAAGACCCTAAGCCCCAGAGCCACCAAGCCCAAAAACCGTGGAAGCCTCGGGATTTGAACGCTTAAAGCCCCCAACCCCTGGAACCTTGGACCAGAAGCCCCGAAATTCTAAGCCTAGAAGACTAGACCCTTAGACCCCTTAGCTCTGAACCAGGGCAACTGAAGCAACAACCCTGACAACCTTTAAAACCCTAGTAGCCCAAATCGCTCTGAAAATGAGAAAGCGATCCATTCTGAGGAAGATTCCCTAATTTACGGGGTATTGGAGTGCCTGGGCTTTAGGCTTTAGGGTTCAGGGTTTAGGGTTTAGGGTTTAGGGTTCAGGGTTTAGGGCGAAGAGCTTACAGCCCCTCGAAGATCTCGGTGCCGGGAGGATTTCGAGCCGCCCTACTTCTCGCCAAAGGTGGGGCAGCTTGGGGACAAGGGGGGTCAAGGAGTTGAGAGATCTAACTCCGCAAATCACAGGGTTTAGGGTTTAGGGTTTAGGGCGTCTCGAACAAAAACCTCGCGGGGCGAGCGCGCGGCACTTGCGCACATCTTTCGAATTTGACAAGTCGGCCGTTCGGGCAATTGCAGGGTGGCCCGGGTGATCGGGGCCGCGTGACCGCTCCGAGATGATGCCCTCCCGCGCCGCTCGTGGGCGGCTCCCACCCTCTCTTCGCTCCGCCCTTTCCGTCAAGCCAAGCCATCCTTTTTTTTTGTTTCTTCCTTCCTTTCCGGTTTGATTGGTTCGACTGAAAATCGCCCTTCGCACGAAATCGCAACATATACCTGCATTTATTTTAAAAAAAGACTAGTCCAAGCTAAGCTACTTACAGTACGCAGGGTGAAACATTTGCATCTGCGACTAGACCATTGAGGCTGTAGTCCTTGACGTGCTGAGAACGCTAGCGGACCGTGAATTGAGCAGTACTATAGGCCATCTTGCATGTTTGGGGCAGCGTCGTCCAAAGTGCTGCATTGTAGTTACAAGCCGGGGGGGGGGAGGGGGGGCGGGGGGGGGCGGGGCGGCCAATAAATAGCCTCTCAGGGCATGGCATTGACGAGTTTAAATTCTGACGCGTTTCGGGCAGGCACAGGGCGTGCAGGTTTGATTTGTTTCTTAAGGCTTTACTGAGTGACACAAAACGGCTTCATTCGAACTATTGGTCTTTGCAATCGCCGTGTGCGCCCTCATCGTTTCTGGACCCTGGGCCGGAAAGTGGTCGAGAGATATTTTCCATGCGTATACCGATCAAAAATCTACAAGCATCCACTCGTTGCCGCTAGCTTGCAGGCCAGCATCAGCCAAGCGACCTTGACCCGACGTAACACAGTTATGCCATAGAAGTTGCCAACCGGTCAGTCCAACTAGTACCCTCGTGTTTTGCTTGGCACATGGAAACGACTTCCGCAGTGCAGGAGGAGTGATATGTCCAGGCGACCTCGCATTCCCTGGGCGTGGGCTCAGGTTGGCCTGCCAAACGGTCATCGGCGAGCGGCAGTCGAGGCAGGGGTTCTACTGCGCACGGCCTGCGCAGACAAAGAGAGGACTGTTCTAGTCAGATGTGGTGGTCAGTTCTGTAGGCAGTCAATTTGGCAGATTGAAACAGTTTACAGGGACAACTGCAACAGGTTGCTGCGGCATAGCCTGGCATTCAACACATGTGGTGAAACGTTCTAGGTTATGCTGCAGCTGATACGTATCACTCCATAGGAATGGTCATGTCTGGCAGGCTGCCACCAAGATGTTCTAGATGTTTCCAGACACGGACGAAGAGGCTTGGAGTTCAGACTCCGAAGTCGCCGAGCGGTTCCGAGAACGACATGAAAAAGCTGTGCAAAAAAAAGCGGAAAGCCAACGCGAAGGCGGCGGCCGGTTCTGCAGCCGTGGAGTCGACGGCCGATGCGTCCCAGACACAGGGAGCAGCAAGACCGGAGTCGCAGCAGCAGCCAGGCCGCCGATGCCGTAGTGAGTCATAGGGTTTCAGAATGCGCCATGCAGGTAACGAAGAATCAGAGCCAATGCCTAGCACCCCGGAGGCAAACGACAGAGGCATGAAAAAATTGGTTTGGATTTCGCCTTTTAACACGACTAGAATCCCAAATCCTAAGAATCAGATTTCGATGTGGAAATTGGTTTAAGCATGAAAAATTTTGGTTTGGATTTCCGCCTTCTAAATACGACTAGAATCCCAAATCCTGAAAAACAGATTTCGATGTGGAAATTGGTTTAGGCATGAAAAATTTGGTTTGGATTTCCGTCTTCTAAATACGACTAGAATCCCAAATCCTAAAAAATAGATTTCGATGTGGAAATTGGTTTAGGCATGATTGGATTTCCGCCTTCTAAATGCGAGTAGAATCCCAAATCCTAAAAAACAGATTTCGATATGGAAACTAGTTTAGGCGTGGAAAATTCTGGTTTGGAATTCCGCCTGCTAAAGACGACTAGAATCCCAAATCCGAAAAAATAGATTTCGATGTGGAAATTGGTTTAGGCATGGAAAATTTTGGTTTGGATTTCCGCCTCCTAAATACGACCAGAATCCCAAATCCTAAAAAAACAGATTTCGATGTGGAAACTAGTTTAGGCATGGAAATTTTGGTTTGGATTTCCGCCTTCTAAATACGACTAGAATCCCAATTCCAAAACAATAGATTTCGATATGGAAATTGGTTTAGGCATGGAAAATTTTGGTTTGGATTTCCGCCTTCTAAATACGACCAGAAACCCAAATCCTAAAGAATAGATTTCGTTGTGGACATTGGTTTAGGCATGGAAAATTTTGGCTTGGATTTCCGCTTTCTAAACACGAGTAGAATCCCAAATCCTAAAAAACAGGTTTCGACACGAAGTACCGAGACCCGAGGTTTTAGGGTAACTATTATATTATGATATAGAATGTCGGTCATGTACATGGAGTCCGACATTCTCTCGGACGAATTCGGATTGAACGTCCTGTCGTCCTCGGCCACCAAGTACTAGCGATGGCACGCACTGGAATTTATACGGAGTGTAGTATTGCACACTTGTGACGAATGTTCGACATGACACCGTACAAAGTGGTATACCAGCCGGGGTCACTCCTCTAACGCCTCAAGGCGTTAGAGAAACGTGCCGGTGAGTTTAGGGTTTCGGGTTTAGGGTTTAGGGTTTGGGGTTTCGGGAGTTTACCCCCCCCCCCCGCCCCCTCATGAAATTTCGGGGCTTTCGCAAGAACTACCCAAGCCTCAAGCTTCCTAAAGCCCTAAACCCTAAACCCGAAGTAAGCCCCTAGACCCTAAAGCCTTGACCCCTTGCTGTCGATGAGCTGATGGCAGGCCCTTCCCTTTCCGGAGCTTCGGCTGCGAGCTGCGCTGGCATCAGCCCTTGGGTTGCGTTTCCAGGATGACGTCCTCAAGTTGAAGGGTTTAAGGTTTAGGGTTTTGGGGTAGTTAAGGTCCTGGGATTTAGGTGTGTCTGGGTTTAAGGTGGTGGGGTGGGTTCGGGTTAGGTTCAGGCTTCTGAGAGACTGGGGCTGTTGAAAGAGTTTCTCATCTTCCGGGGCTCGGTTTTAAGATGAACGCCAGGCTTCGGAAGCCGCTAGGCCTCACTCTGAACCACAAAAACCCCAGGCTCCAGCAAATCTCAAAACCTGGAATGACCAAAAACCGATCCGATGCAACTCTGAACCCTCAAATGCTTCTAAAACCCGGCACCCTCCCCAAACCCTAAACCCCAAACCCAAACCCCACACCCTAGACCCTAAACCTTAAACCCTAAACCCTAAAGCCGGAATCCTCCTGGCCTGGCCGAGGCCCAGGTCCTCAACTACGCAGCTTGGACGATTTGCGTGAGGTACCATACCCTGCTGGGAGAATATTCAGGTGAAGCCCCTTTGGGGGTTTAGGGTTTAGGGTTCAGGGAGTTCACCTGTGTTGGGGGATCCCCTGATGGTAGCTCATTTCAAGGGGGGTGTATCCGGGGATCCTCTTCAGTTGAGTTCTGAGGGTAGTATCATGGTCCTTTAATGGGGTCCCTTGCCTTCTTTAAAGTGCCCTGAATTATGGGGCCCTTGGGGTTCATAGGGTATATAAGTGGCATATCAGGGTTCCTGTTTTAGGGCCCATGCTAAGGGACCAATGTAACTACCCGCTCAACTACCCCGAGAAAGTTGGGGCCGCCACCTGATGAAATACATTGATTGTCTAGGTGAGACTTTACTACAACCTTAGCACTTTATGAGTTTTGGTGTTCCTTTAAGGGAACTAACAGTTAGAAACTTTTATTGGGGGCCTAAAGAGCAACCAAGTTGTCTGCAGGTAAGTCAAGGGAGCATCTCATGCACGCGTTGAGCAGCCTGCCATCTGAATACCTCCTTCTCAAGGCCTCTGGGGCAAGGACCCCAAAACCCTGAAACCCTAAAACACTAAACCCTAAAACCCTAAAACCCTAAAACCCTAAAACCCTAAAACCCTGACACCCTAAAACCCTACGACCCTAGAACTGTCCACCTCCTGGTTTTTGAGGCCACGTTGGCCGTGGGAGATCGAGAGGGCTGGAGTGCGCTAGCAGGCGAGGAAGCGCCAAAGCCCTACAACCCCAAAGCCATCAACAAAAGGGCGCAACAATCAAGACGCTTTAGAGTATTTTAGTAATGCCCTGAAACCCCAAAACCCTGGCAATCCTGAAGCCCTTAAGCCCTTAGGGTGTTTTGGTGAGTTTTAGGCTCTGGGGTGTTGATCAGCAATCCCCAAAACACCCGAAGGGCTTGAGGGTTTCAGGACACAGCTTATTCAGAATATGGGAGCTTCTCGCGTGTGGCAGGCAAGAGTTGAGAGCCCAGAATCTCAGTGTTTGTTTTTTGGGAGTAGGGTTTCAGGCTTGGTTTTCGGACTTTAGGGTTTCAGGGTTCAGGGGCTGTAAACCCTGCAGCCCCCAGCCCCTGATGCTTAACCCCGAACCCTAAACCCTAAATCCTGAACCCTATACCCTAAACCCTATACCCTTAACCCTAAACCCTCAACCTGAAACCCTGCATGCCATGAACTGTCAAACCTTGAAGCCAATCATGTTCTGCACACCCTGACACCTTGAACCCTAGACACGAACGGCTCTGAAGTCCCTAAACCCTAAACCCCAGACCCTGACCCTAAACCCTAAACCCCAAACCCTACACCCAAAACCTTCGACCCAAAACCCTAATCCCTAAACCCAAATCCCAAAACCCTAAACCCCAAACCCTAAACCCCAAAACCCTAAGCCCTAAACCCTGAACCCTAAACCCTAAACCCAAAACCCTGAACCCTAAACCCTAAACCCTAAACCTCATCTCGGCTGAAGGCGAGATGGCGGGCTGCGGGGCCTCCACGTTGCGGCTGCTCCACCGGGTCTTCCAAAGCCAAGCGTGCCTCGGAGCTGTAGGTTCGGGTTTAGGGTTTGGGGTTTAGGGTTTAGGGTTGAGGGTTTTGGGTTTTGGGTTTGCTGAGGGTTTAGGGTATATTTGGGGTTCAGGGTCTATAGGGTTCAGAGTTTAGGATGTAACGGCCCCTACTGCAAAGAAGGCCCGTGCGAACAGAGTTAAAATGCCTCGACCCGAGCACCGAGGAAGCGTTTCCACCCCACGTACCGGAAGGAGAAAGCGCCGAGGGGGTTTAAGTGGGTTTCCGATAGTAGGGGTGCGGGAACCCTAAACTCTAAACCCGAAACCCGGGGATTCGGTGTGCTTTAAGTGGACGTATACTTGGGGTTACAAGTACTCATGAACCTCCCAGTATGCTTGGGCGCACCGAATTGTGGACCACTGCGCACTCAGTAGCACAGGATGGGAAGGCATGGTTGCAATGAGAGCTTGTAAGCTAGGAATTCCGTTGTTGTAGCACCTAAACCACAATCCCTAAACCTTGAGCCCTGAACAAACAGGGCTGGATCATTCAGGGTTCCTACCCGTGGCTCACGGCAAGGGCAAGACAAAGGCCCTTTCGAAGCCCGGAAGCTAGATAAGGGGTGCTTCTAGATCAGAGTCCCCTACCCTAACACCGAAAAGTTGAGCAGTACTTGCGCCACCAGCGAAGCTTTTCAATACTGCACAAGTCAATAGCAAGAACTGTTAACAGTAACACGGATACAACTCACGATATTATGATTAGGGTCCTAGACTCATGCAAGGAGATTGCGACAAAGTTCGTTTCCGTCTCCTTGAACCTTCCACCAGGAGGGTTTAGGGTCGTTTGGGGTTTCGGCTTTCAGGCGTCGGCGAGAGAGCATCGCTAGTAGACCCAACTCTGATTTCCTGAATTACATTGAGCTAAGTCTTTGGAAAGGTGTTCTTAAGAACAGCAGAACATTTTCAGTGAGAGCTTGGGCTTTCAGGGCTGAGGGGTTGGTGGGTTTCAGGATAAGCGGCATGTGGCAGGGTTTGGAACTTACAACAGTAGCCATGGCAGGAGAGCCGTGTTCCCCGACCTTGGCTTTCAGTGTCAAGTTAGGAGTACTCTTCTGCCCTTCAAAGCCAAGCCCTATGGCCTGCACCCTGAGTATTCAGAGCTTAGGGTGCTCATGAACTGCAACTCAGATTGAGCAACGCCAGCACTTCTTCCGATCATCGGGGAGCATCCAGCCCTGAAGCCCTAACCCTTGAACCCTAAATTAGAGGTTAGGGTTTAGGGTGTACGGTTTAGGGTTTAGGGTCTAGGGTTTAGGTTGACCCTCAACTCTGACCGACCCTAGACCTCGCATACGTGGCCTGCGAACTCAACGAGCGAACCCGCAGCAAGGCGCGGCCGAGGAGGGAGCCAAGACAGCGGAGGAGGGAGCACAGGGTTGTTGAGTTTTAGGTTTTACTGCTGCGGTGTTATCTGTATAAGTTGTACAGAGGTATGTGTGTATACATGTGTATATGTAGGTATTATTGATATGCATACATCCATGTAGATATCGACGTATGCAAGTTTGGTTTTATGCTTGGATTCTGGGGGTTTGGGCTTGGAGTGCTTTCGGAGTCCGTGCTATTCATTTCTTGGGCTTTGCGTTGGGAGCGTGTTGGGAGGTGCTGGGGACTTCCAGAGATGTTCGGGATTCGTGCTGAACATACCAGCTTCATTCATGCAGGCTCTTTTGGGTTTCCAGGGGCTTCCAGCCCTAAACCCTAAACCCTAAGCCTTATCCCCGAAACCCCCAATTATTTCAGGTCTTTGTAGCTTGGATCCCGTGAAGCTCCTGCTGGGCCATACTCAAATGCCGCAAGCCCCAGGAGGGCAAGGGCCCTGGCCCCGGCTCGCAGAAGAGGCGGCGCGCGGCCGCCAAGCAGGCCTAGGGTTTAGGGTTTAGGGTTCAGGGTTTAGGGTTTAGGGTTTAAGGTTTAGGGTTTAGGGTCTAGGGTTTCGGGTTTAGGGGTCGAGTTCTTAGCAAATGGCAGTTCTGGCTCGCCCGTTTGTTTCTAAGGATGCTTCGGTTCGGATTGTGGCTGTGGGGCCCTGTCATGGGAAAGCCCTCCGATGTTTTTTTGGGGGTTGAGGGTTTAGGGCAGGTTTGTGAGCTTCGTGTTTGGGAGTTTTGGGTTGGTGGGGGGGGGGGGGGGGGGGAACCTGCATAGCACAGCCCTCCCTGCACCCTTTACCCTAAATCCTAAAGCCTGAACCTAAACCCTAAACCCTGAACCCTGAACCCTAAACAGCAGGTCGAAGATAGCGACGATGACGACGATGCGCTGATGGCCATGCTTGAGGCCGAGGCATCCACCGGCGAGGTGCCGGACGCTCCTAAACCCTGAACCCCAAACCCCCAAACCCCAAGCCCTAAGCCCCAAACCCTAAACCCCAAACCAAAAACCCAAAACCCTAAACCCTAAACCCTAGACCCCAGACTCCAGACCCTAAACCCTTTAGAGTGCAGATAAACTGGACCAGCAGGCCCGAAGCCTTAGTGGAGGGTTTCAGGGGGTAAAGGGGTTTTGGGTTTCAAAGGGCAAAGGGGTTTAGGGTTTAGGGTTTAGGGTTTAGGCCTCGAGCGCATGCGCAGGTGCTCTTCCACGACGATTTCGTCTCCTGGCTTTCACGGGCAGATCTGATTCCCCCGAACTGCAAGCCCAAAACCTTAGATCCTAAGCTCGAAGCTCTAAACCTTGAACCCCAAGCCAAGAAAAACCTCAAGCCCTAAACCCTAGTACCCAAATCCCCTAAACCCTAAACCCTAAACCCTAAACCCTCAACCCTAGTACCCAAGCCCAGTTCTCAATCCCAGAGCTGCCAAGGATCTCCTGAATTCCGGCGAGGGCCCGGAGGAAGCCTCCCCAAAGCCGGCGCGGAAGAAGAAGGCCACTGAGCTAGGGTTTAGGGTTTAGGGCTTTAGGGCTTTAGGGTTTAGGGTTTAGGGTTCCCTGCAGTACATAGGGCCTAGAATTTCTCAGAGTCCGCGGTTTCGGGTATCCTGAGACCTCCAAAAGGCAAAGGTGTCTAGGGCGGGATGGGCTCGTTTGAGTAACGGGCTTAGGGTTTAGGATTTAGGGTTTAGGGTTTAGGGTTTAGGGCAAGAGTGAGAGGCGTTCGAGTTTCCGGCTTTGTTGAGGGGTTAAGCGGTTCAAGCCTAAACCCTAAACCCTAAACCCTAAACCCTAAACCCTAAACCCTAAACCCTAAAGCCTAAAGCCTAAAGCCTAAAGGGTTCGATTCAACTTCTGTGGTTATGAGTTCAAGGCTCCTGAGCACCCTTTGGGTCTGCAAAGCATCCCCCAAACCCTAAACCCTTGGTTTTGAGTCAAGAGGAGGTTTCGGGTTTAGGGTGTCGGGTTTCGGGTTTGGGGTTTCGGGTTTGGGGTCTCGGGTTTGGGGTCTCGGGTTTGGGGTTTCGGGTTTCGGGTTTGAGGTTTCGGGTTTGGGGCTTCGGGTGTAGGGCTTCGGGGTAGCTGCAAAGCTCTGGCCAGGCGCTCGGCAAGAGGAAGCTGCTTGACTGCACCCTGGAGCAGCGATCCCAGAGACCCCAATCCCCCTAGCCAGGAGTTATTCCTTGACTTGTGCTCCCGTCACTGAGCTGCCTTTGCGGAAAATGCAGCTCCCCCCGCACCCTTGTTGTTTACTGAGGTCATTCACTGCTGCAGGGCTAGCTTTTTGTGTGTACACGGCAGATCCCGCTCGAAGAAACCCAACACCGTCAACACCCTAGCGCCCAAAAAACTCAACGTTCTAAAGCCCCCATTACAACCCTAGACCCCAAACCCTAAGCCCCAAACCCCAAACCCTAAACAACCCTAAACCCTAAACCTCAAGCATCCCAGGAAGCCGCGGGGCACCGGAAAAAATGGGTAGATGCGTGGCCTGCAGGGCCTCCGCAATTGCAATGACGGAGTCGTTTCTAAGATCCGAGAAAAGGCAAGGGAAGCCGGATCGTGAGGGTTTTTAGGGTTTAGGGTTGAGGGTTTTAAGGGTTTTCAGGTTTTTTTTTTTTTAATGGTTTTTAGGTGTTTAGGGGTTTAGGGTTTTAGGGTTTGAAGGGGCTGCCCTAGACCAGCTCGCGATCGCAAGAAAAGGTGCCAGGCGGTGCTGGGATATTCTGCAGAGGGGTCCTTCAAGCCCCCTTATACGAAGAGTCCCTATTAAGGTATAGTACCCGCTATGATGGAACATCCCAAGAGAAGCACTCAAAGCCCTGAATCCCAGAATCCCAAATCTGCACACCAAAAATCCTGAAGGATATATGGCTTCGAGGGGGGCCCTGGGTAAGTACTTGGAGGCTCACGTGCACGTATAAGTCGGGTTATAAGTATAGTAAATGGTGGTTGACGAAAGTAGAAAGGGGGCCCCTAATTTAATATAGACCCCCCAAAACCGTAGGATCACCTTGTGATTTTCATAAGGCCCCCCAAAAAGGGTACCCCGAATTTCGGAAACCCAAATAGGTTTGTAAGTATAGTTACCATACTCATAGCCCTCCCTGAACCCTAAACCCTAAACCCTAAACCCTAAACCCTAAACCCTAAACCCTAAACCCTAAACCCCAAACCCCAAACCCTAACCCCAAACCCTAAACCCCAAACCCCAAACCCCAAACCCTAAACCCTAACCCTAAAACTCCTGAGCCTCCAAGTCGCCGCAGTATTCACTGAGGGAACATGTTGCGGTGCTGCTTTGATGTGAGCCTTGCTACACCCCAACGCCCAAACCCTCAAAAGGTTTAGGGTTTGGGGTTTAGGGTTTAGGGTTTGGGGTTTGGGGTTTAGGGTTTCGGGTTAGGGTTTAAGGTTCAGGGTGACATACACGCAGCCTCCCTCGAGAAGGGTCCCGTCCTCCCAGCGAGCCCTAAACCCCCGCCAAACTAAACCCAAACCCATGAGGTTTTTGGGGTAGTTTTGCTTCTCCTTTTTGTATGGGTTATCAGGGGATAATCTTGGTCATTGTTTAGGCTCCTATACCCTACACTCTAAAGCAGAGATGGAGTTTTGTGGATGCCAGGCCGCTGAGGCCGCTCCTGAGGCGTTTTTTGTTTTTTTTTGTTGGGGGGAGACGGGGAGGAAGGGGTTTAGGTTTTCGGGTTTTGTGTGTGTGTGTGTGTGTGTGTGTGTGTGTGTGTTTTTTTAAGGGTTTTAGGGTGTTGAGTGGTTTAGGGCGGTTCTGGGGTTTGGGGTTTAGGGTGGGATTCATCTCCCTCCCAGCTTGACAACTCCCATACGAGACCAGAAGGTGCCTCCCTTCACCTCAATCGGAGGCCCCAATACCCCTTAATTAAGGAATATTCCTTAAGCCATATAAGGAACCCTATTGTAGTTTAAGGAATATTCCGTAAGCAAGGGGTATTGGAGTCCCTGGGTAATCTACAACTCTACACCCCCCAGACCTTAGACCTTGTGGTGCCAATGAGTAGACCCCTTGTCACAACTGGTTTAGGGTTTAGGGTGAAGGTTCAGGGTTGAGGGTTTAGGGTTTACATTGAAAGATGGGGTTCCCCAGTCTATGGGTCTGGGGGTTTAGGGTTGAGTGTTAGGGTTTACATTGAAAGATGGGGTTCCCCAGTCTATGGGTCTGGGGGTTTAGGGTTGAGTGTTTCAGGGACATGTAGGATTCCGGGCTTAGGATTTGGGGGTGTAGTGGGAGGGGAAAGGCCCAGTGCTGTGTTGGTGCCTGCGGGTTCCAACACAACCTTAGCCCTAGACCGGAACCCTAAACTCTGAACCCTGAACCCTGAACCCTGAACCCCGAACCCTGAACCCTAAACCCAAAACCCTGAACCTTAACCCCAACACGGCAGGATGCTCCGAGCGGTGCGACCCCCTTTGCCGGGTCAGCTGGAAGTAAGCTTCTGTTCTAAACCTCAGCCCTGAACCCGAAGCTAGGTAGGCCACTGGGATGTTAGTTTTTCGTTATTGAGTTTATGAGGATCATGCGTCGGAGTGTGTCTTCCCAGGCGTTTAAGGGCCATCCCAGTTCAACTGTCCCCTAATCAGAATCCCGTAACCCTGAACCTCCTGTATCTTCACCTGCACTGTGCGGAGGCCCTACACCCCAAACCTGAACCCTGAGTCCTGAGCCCTAAAGACTCAACTCCTGAACGCCCTCAAGCGCCTCAACCCCACTCCCTATACCCCCCAACATCCGGAGCTTGACCTTCCCGAGGGCATCAGGGATCAGGGTTTTCCGAAACAGACGTCTGCCTGCCCCGGTCGCGCGCTGCGCCGCAGCATGTGGTGAGAGACGGGGGGGCTCCGGGTTTAAGGCCGGAAAAGCTCAAAGAAGCTTCCCTTTTTTTAGATCCTTTAGCTCAGGCGCTGAACGTGGGGGCCCCAGCTCTTCACCGGACTCTCAGGCTCCCACCAAGGAGCGTAGTCCCAAGAGCCTCCTGAGCTCCAGGCAGCCATGCGCGCGCTGCGCCTGGGAAGGACCCTGTCCTCCGCAGTTGCGAGGTCCCGGTGGGCGTGTGCGGCTTGCGTTGGGGGGGGGGGGGGGGGCTTGCACCGGTCCTCTTCTGCGGGCCGCAGCCCGTGAACCCTGGGATCTTATGTAGCCTTGAGGCTCATCACCTGAGGCGGTAGCTGCACATAGCAAAGCTCCTGTCGGAACCTGGAAACAGCATTGTAGGCCTGGCAAGATTTTTCCATCACGCAGTGCAATCTCCGCATTCGGAGCGGAGAGTCGCTCGCGAAGTCCATAGAAAGTGCTGATTCTGGCTGGGGTTAATCTAGGGGTCGGAACCTTATTAGTTGTCTTCCCTTACGGTCCTATTTTATAGTTGTACTAGAATAACACCTAAACCCTGAACCCTAAACCCTAAACCCTAAACCCTAAACCCCAAACCCTAAACCCTAAACCCCAAACCCTAAACCCCAAACCCTAAACCCTAAACCCGAAACCCTAAACCCTTAACCCTATGCTAATGATTGAAGCCCCTATGTTCCTAAAGGTGCCCGGCCTCGCCTGCTCCACTGTCACGATGTCTCGTGCCGAGCCCAGACGAAGGACGTCCGCTCCAAGGGGAGGCTGAAGGTGTAACCAGGGTTCTACAATTCAGCAACAAGAGATATGGGGCTTAGGGTTTAGGGTTTAGGGTTTAGGGGTTAGGGTTTTACCAAAAACTTAGGGGTATTTGGACATCGTTTTTAAGTTTTGGGTACTGTAGTTCCTAAGAAACAGCCAAAACTTTAGTTTTTGCTCGGGTTCCAAGTTCAGTATAGATTAAGCAACAGGAGATAGGGGGTTTACGACAATAAGGGGCCCCTAAGATAGACCCCCAAATAGTAGGATTCCCTTTATAACCAGGACCTAATTTCGGAAACCGCCATACCTCAACACCCGTCCAAAGCCGAAAGCCCTGAAGTCCCTCAGCCCCTCAGCTTTCACCCGAGAAGCCTTCCTTACACCTGAACCCTACACCCTGAACCCCGAAATCCCTCAACCCGAAGCCCTGTGCCTAGGCCCTACCCTGGTCCGAGCAGCGTCGCGGGATGAAGCGCCGGGCTCGGAGATTTCGTTTCGCCGCCTACCGGAGTGCACGGCTGTCTACATGACTCAGGGTTTCCGGAGTTTACAAGGGCAAAGGGACTTATCGGGATTATTCACCCAACACCCTGAACCCTAAACCCTAAACCCTAAACCCTAAACCCTAAACCCTAAACCCTAAACCCTAAACCCTAAACCAGTGGCGAATGAAGCCAGGCTGAGCCCTCGAGAGTTGGACCACCTGCGCTTGTCGCAGGCAGTGGGCTTCCGCAGGGTTTAGGGTTTAGGGTTCAGGGTTGAGAGTTTAGGGTTGAGGGTTGAGGGTTTAGGGTTGAGGGTTGAGGGTTGAGGGTTGAGGGTTGAGGGTTATGGGTACTTCCCCGAATTCGGGTCCTTGTAAGGGGGGTGTCCTTACTGCGTGGGTGGTATAGTGCGTGGGGCTCTAATGGGAGTCTCTTTCTTGCGGGAGCCTCAGGAAGCTGATGCCCAAAGGTTCGAAAAAACCTGAAGGCCAGATTAAACCCTAAACTCCAATTAAGCCTTAAACCCTAAGCCCTCAACCTTAGTTTATTCCTTCATTGTAGAATCCGGAAGTATGTGACCCACTTTGCTTTTTGGGCCAGTCTAGGGTCCACCGTCAAACTCTCAGGGCTTATTCCTTCAGGAGTATTGGGTTTTTAAGTCCCTTAAACCTGGAAAAGTGTCACTCTTCAAGCTTGAAGCCTCTAACGGTTTAGGGTTTAGGGTTTAGGGTTTAGGGTTTAGGACATTCTTGGAGGTTCATGGGTCGTTATAAGTAGCTCCAAATAGGGTTCTAAGTATAGTTGCCATACTTGTAACCCTGCTTATAACTACCCATGAACATCCAAGTAGGCAGGACTTAGGGATTGGGATGTTCCCCCTGATACACAGTCCTTAATAATAGGGTTTTTAGTACCCCCTATTATGATCCCATTTTTAATGGACTGTTAGTATAAGGGGGAACATCCCACACTTAGGGATCTTAATCCAAGGGTTCCCTATCTGGGTCTTGGGCTAAATCCTGAATCCTAATCCCTAAACCCTAAACCCTAAGCCCCCACTCGACAGGCAGGGCAGTTGGCGCAACGGCGCCTGGCCAGGGGTTTGCGGCTCAACCACCCGGAGGCCGTTTGGAGGGGCTCAGGGTTTGGGTTTAGGGTTTGAGGTACTACAGGGGTCGGAATAGTTACTAATAGTATTCCCTCATGGTCCCTTTATCATGATACTCTAATAGCCCCAGAAGCCCTATTCTAATTCTTAAGGCCCCACATATGAGGGTGGTAGGGCTGGCAGTGACGACTTAGTTGCCTTAGGGGCCTTTTCCAGGCTTGATCGGGCTTGGGGTTTGGGGTTTAGGGTTTGGGGTTTGGGGTTTAGGGTTTAGGGTTTGGGATTTAGGGTTTAGGGTTTAGGGTTCACGAAGCCCTGTCTGGTACCAAGCCACGTGAGAGGCAGTTGCCTTGCTCACCAGCCAGATGATGGAGCCGGCCTCCCAGCAACCGAACCCCTGAACCCCGAACCCTAAAACCTAGGGTTCAGGGTTCAGGGTTCAGGGTTTGAGGTTGAGGGTTTCGGGTTTAGGGTTTAGGGTTTAGGGGCCACCATTAGCGCCAGATATCCTAGACGGAACCGCTACAACCCTAAAATGGTGGGTTTCCGACATTCGGGCACCTCTTACTGTAAGAAAAGCCTACTCTGTGGGGGGCTATTCCAGGAGCCCCCTATTGTCCTCAACCCCTACTTGAAGGTTCATGGGACTTAATAACCACTTATAACTGGCCTTATAACCCTACTTATAATCGGGATAACCCCTATAAGGCCCTTTAGGGGTATTATAAGTGGGGTTATAAGTACACTTATAATTGGTTAGTAAGTACCATGAACCTTCAAGTAAAGTTGCTGCAGCTCTGAGTGCCGAGGTTCATCCGCGATGGCCTCTCCGTCTCGGCTCTGATGGACCTCGGCAAGACGCTGCTCGGGCGGCGGCAGGCAGGTCTAGTGTTCAGGGTTCAGGCTGCTCAGGGTGTAGGGTTGAGGGGTGAGGGGTGACGGGTGAGGGGTGAGGGGTGAGGGGTGGAGGGTGGAGGGTTGAGGGTGGAGGGTTGAGGGGGTGGGGGGTTGGGGGTTTGTGCTCTAGGGTGTGGTCATCGCGATTAAGGACTGTTAGAATAAGGGGGAACATCCCAGAGAGGAACCCCTACTTGGAGGTTCATGGTACTTACAAACCAATTATAACTGTACTTATAACCCTACTTATAATACCCCTAAAGGGCCTTATAGGGGTTATCCCTATTATAAGTAGGGTTATAAGCCCAGTTATAAGTGGTTATTAAGTCCCATGAACCTCCAAGTAGATCAGAGGCATGCCCATGCTTGAGTCAAGCCTTGCAATTAGGGGGGTGTGACCAGATCCTGGTCTGCTTGGGGGAGTTGTCTTTCAGGGTTTATGCAGGGAAGGGCTTAGGGTTTAGGGCTTAGGGTTTAGGGTTTAGGGTTTAGTTTTCAAGGGGGAATGAACTTTTAAGGTTTATGCAGGGTCTGGGGTTTTAGAAGGGGAGGCACAGCCGCTCCTCTGGTGCAGGTCCTGCCGGGTGTTGAGAAGCTCATCCCGGATGTTCAGGCGGGTTGAGGGTTTTGGGGCTTGGGGGTTTCAGGGTTTCAGGGTTTTGGGCCACCGTCAGGTGGAAGCCACCTTCCCGGACGGCACGAAGCTCCTGACGGTGCATCAGCCCATCTGCCAGCTTCTCGGAGACCCTAGGAAAGGAACACTCTTCCCTGAACCTTCAACCCCATACCCCAAAACCCTGGTGTACAGGAACCCCGCACCCCCGCCTCCAAACCGGGAAACCCCAAAGCTTTCGCGTACCTGTCCCAATACCCTACAACCCCAATCCCTACAACCCTTGACCAAGCAAAACCCTCAACCTTAAATCCTCTAAACCTCTAAACCCTCATCCTAAGCCCCGAGCCTTGGAACAGCCCTCTGAGACCTACTTGGAGGTTCATGGCGAGAGTTTTCAGGAGGATATAGGAGGATTAGGGGTGTGGTAGCTATACTTAGAACCCTACTGAAGGTACTTCGAGCATTACCGATCACTTCCCATGAAACCTCCAAGCAAGCCTAAACCCTAAACCCCAAACCCTGAGCCTCGAGACGCCCAGGCGCGATGGACGGGGATTTGAGCTTGGCCCTCAAAGGCCGGGTCTACTTGGAGGTTTACGGTTTAGGGTTTAGTGTTTAGTGTTTAGGGGCTTGGAGGTTCATGTGGGCAGTAGGGTTCTAGGTATGGTAGCTGTGGCCTTATTCAGAGTGCTTGGTAACCCTGCTTATCACTACCCATGAACCTCCAGGGTTTATGGTGTGAGGTTGAGGGTTTTGCAGCCGTACTCAAGCTTCGAGTAGGGCGGGAAGTCGCAAAGTTCGGATGTTCCCCCTGCAGCTAACCGTCCTAAATAGGGATTAGAGTACCCCCTATTGTAATCCATAGTAAGGACTGTTAGAATAGGGGGGAGCCTACCAAACGCAAAGGCACAAGCACGCCACCAAGTTTTACGGCTCAAAATTCGGCCCCGCCCTGCCTCTGTGAAGAACCTCGGCCGCCACAGTCCGGCCATGGGCAACGTGAGGCTCGCTTGCATGAGATGGTGTGCAAGCGCTAACCCGAGGACCGACCAGAAAGTTTGCCGCCTAAACCCTAAACCCTAAACCCTAAACCCGAAACACTAAACCCGAAACACTAAACCCTAAACACTGAACCCTAGACCCTCCCTAAACCTTAACCCGAAATACTAAACCCTAAACCTACTTGGTTACGGGTTTGGGTTTAGGGTTCAGGGTTTATGGCTAGGGTTTAGGGATTACTTGGAAGCATTTGACGTTTTGAGTCTTCTTTGTGTTTCTAGAAACCCCACAAATAACCCCCATAACCCACCTTACTAACCCGACTCACAAAGTCAAAAGGGCTTCCAGGAACCCTTGAGCTTGAGCGCTGGAAACCTGAAAACCCTAAACCCTTACACCCTTGAACTCTTGAACCCTTAAACCCAGACAGACCCTAAATCACTTGAAGCCAGCCCTACATCCTTTAACCCTTAAACTCATAAACCCCTCAACCCCTTGACCCCTTGAACCGCTTCACCCCCTGAACCCGACCTCATTCCCTCTACCTTGATCAACGCCCGGAAAGCCTTTGGGGTTTAGGGTTTACTTGGAGGTTCCTGGGCAGTTCCCGCTGGGTCCCGGAGAGCCCAACACCCCTTAAACAAGGACTACTTCTTCAATCAGGGATCCTTCTCATGGACAAAGCCATGTGGTCAGTTCTCTAAGTGATGGTGACTTTTTGGGTCACCCTAGACAAGATAGTTCAGAGAAGACCATGTTCCTTTATACTACAGCTTTATCAATTTATAAGCTGAGGGTTTTGTAATGTCATATTAAGGGAGCCAAAAGTTAAACTTTTATTTGGGGGTTAAAAGGCAACCAAGTGAAGAGCTCTCGGGCTTGCTGGTGAGCCGAGGAATGTCAACGAGTGCATGTGCGAGGCTGGGGGGGGGGGGGGGGGGGGGCAGCGGGACGGTCTTTGCTGAGGGTTGGGTCTATAAGGCCTTCCTTGAAAGCCTTTCTTGACCTAGTGAGTGGGGGATAGTAAGCCAGGTTGTGGGGATTATACTAGGGGTTTTAGGGGGGTAATTGCTAAGTAGACTTTGTTGAGTCAAAAGATCTTCCAAGTTGAGAGCTTCGTGATCGGAAGATTGGTGATGGTTCCAAGAACAGTTGGAAGATGAACCGACGACCGAGCTGTGCTTTGGGAAAGTTCGAAAATGTCCATTCTATCCTTTATACGGGAAAGGGTTTAAGGTTTAGGGTTTAGGGTCGGTTTAGGGTTTAGGGTTCGTTTAAAGCACCACTCAGAAGGGACAGGTCCCAAGCTTGAGCTGCCGGGCCAGGTTGATGACAGCAACGAGCTCTTCTTCGCCGCCCAGCTGCGGTTAAAAAGGAAACCGTAGACCTCAGGAGTCTGATATGGGGGTTTAGGGTTTAGGGTTTAGGGTTTAGGGTTTAGGGTCGGATGAATTACGAAGAGTATCCCCCTATGGCCCCCTATACTTTAGATAAGAACCCCCAAAACCCTATTCTAATTATTCAGGCCCCTATATTATCTCTAGATCGGCCGAGGTGAGTCCCCTTGTTGCCCCCCCGTCTCTTTGCAGATATCAGCATTCACAGCATGCTTGATTTCGTGATCAAAGTTCCGTAGCCAGCACCAAGCTGTCTAGTCCGCCTGGTAATCGCCACTGGCTTGTGCTGCGCAGCTCTTCTCTCCTGTGCTGCACTACCCCGTCCATCACCAGCAGCTTCTTGTGAGTTTTCTGACAGTATGGCCCTTTGTAGCCGAGGCCCACACAACCCGGAGAATCATCTTTCTGCATGAGGGAAACTTGCTAGCTTCTAGAAGAGATGCCTCAGATTCCTCCCCTGTCTACCCTAAGCCCTAAACCCTTTCAAGGGGCCATACTATGCAGCATCAATATAGGGGTCGGAATTATTATTAAGAATATTCCCTTATCGTCCCTTTATACTTATACTACCATAACCCCCACAACCCTATTGCAATATGTATGGCCCCTCTAGTAGTATTCCCTTATCGTCCCTTTGTAATTATACTACCATAACCCCCAAAACCCTATTCTACTTGTTCAGGCCCTATAGAAATATCCCTTTATAGTCCCTTTATAAGTATACTACCAAGCCCTAAAACCCAATTCTAATTATTAAGGCCCCTGAACTTGTAGCCCGAAACCCTAAGCCCTAAGCCCCAAGGGACCATACAGCATTACATGAGCCCTGAAACCAACCAGAAGCCTTGGGTACTCATCCCCGCTGGGGCAAAGGACGAGATGGATGCGGCGGCCGCCGGGGACCCCAACGGGAGGGTTTAGGGTCTAGGGTTTAGGGTTGATGGTTTAGGGTTTAGTGTTCACTTGGAGGTTCATGGCTAAAGAAAAAGTAGCGTTCTAATAGGGTGATGAGCATAGTCCCATAATTATAATTCCACTTATATCTACACCACATGAACCTGCAAGTAGGGTTCAGGCAGACGAGCCCAATACACGCTAAGTAGGGGAGTAGACCTTACATCACGATAAGCGTCCCTGGTTGTAGTTAGGTATATTCCTTGTAATGGCTCAACAACCCCCCCCCCCCTCCAAGCCCCAAACTCTGCACCCAACCCCAACCTTTGGAGAGCAGCTTTAGGGCTTCGGGTTTAGGGTTTAGGGTTTAGGGTTCTGGGATCAGGGTTTCGCGTGCAGGGTCTTTCTAGTTCTTCATGGCGAATCGGGGCACGAGGTTCTTCATGATAACCGAGTAAGATGTAGGGCACAGTTCATGAGTTCATGAGCTACTCACCCTACTAAGAGATGTTAGAGCGTCAGGCTTTGGAGGGATCTAGCAGTGTAAGGGGCCTGCAGGTGTGGATCAACATCTACGACCTGAATCAAGACTGGCTCACTGCCAACAGCGTGCCGCACTGAGCGAAACACAAGCCCTTTCTTTCGTTCAAGGTCAGTTCCTACGTCGTAAGGGGTGTTGGGTTCAGTTATTGTGGGACCTGCTACTACCATACTCTACTTCCTCCGACTCCCCTCCAAAAAATGACCCAAATATCCCTTAACTATGCCGCAACTATGCGCCTTATTAGTGCCTGATTTACGTGAGAAATGTGGCCTGTTTCCTGTGAAGCAAGCCCCAAACCCCAAATCCCAAACCTTATTTAGGTTGGGGCCAACGTTCTCCACGTGGGTGGTGCCTTCCACGCAGCAGTGGAAGTCTTCGGCGTGGCTCCCGGGTAGATGGTCCGATTAGGGCTTTTTAGGGTTTAGGGTTGAGGGTTTAGGGGTTCTGGTTAGGGAACTTAAGCAAGCTACCATAGTAGGGTTCTATCGCAAATATGGTTTCCTTATCATGATCACCTCGTTGAAAAGCCCTGGGAAAGGATCCAGTTTGGGGTGAACCCAAAGCCTTCGCGCACTCAACCCCCAAAATCCTCAACTCAAGGCAACTCGAAGGGTTCAGGGTTCAGGGTTTAGGGTTTAGGGCTTAGGGTTTAGGGTTTAGGGTTTAAACCCCCATGAGCCCAAATCTTCAGACCCCAAACGCTTAGGCCCCCAACCTTCCAAACCCCCGAAACCCGAAACCCGAACCTAAA